ATAATTCTCCCCGCCCAAGCCCTGGACTCTCGTTCTCTATCCGACATCCATCCGAAACAATCACTGTGAAATAAGTAATACTCGAGTAAGTTTAAACGCATGTCAAGTATGAAGCTTCATTCGTATCATGCGTCTTGTCTATTTGAAAGTAATTGTTTCGGACGAATGTCGGACGGAGACCATACCGTAACCGTTCGGTCACGGAGGCGGTTATACCAAGTTTATAGAAACTAACCTTTTCCTTTAGAGATCTCGTTGGCAGCATACTGTAGGAGTCCATTCTGCAAATTGCTGGCCCCATTGCCGTTGGTCACGGCGTCTTGACGGAACTTCTCGGGAACTTGGGCAACATCGTTTTTATTGTATTCTTTGTTGGAATTCAGGGACACCTCCATATCTTTCTTGTTGTTGAAATCGGGGAGTTTGCTTTCTGGGAATGGTACGCCGTTTCTGTAAATACAGGAGGTTGACATTTGTTATTGTTAATTCGTGTGGATGAAAGGGACTGCAATGAATGGAACGAGAGCTTATTGATGATTACATTAAAATTCAATTAGTTTCTTCTTTTGGTCTGAACTCTTATCAAAATGTATGAAAATGTTGTGGGACATGGTAAATCAACATTGTATTTTTTATGATACAAAGTGAGTGAAAGAGAGTGAGTTTATTCAATAAAAATTTAAAAAACCGTGAATAGCGACATCTCTCGCCAGGGCTGGTAACTGTAAAGATATCTAACTGGGCGATAAAACTTTCATAGATTTCTCATAGATGGCGCTATGACTAAAAAGTCGTTGCAAAAACCAAATACAAAGATACGACACAAGCACATAGAAAAATTCGTGAGGTCCACTGGTTCGTTCCGTGGCTTAGTTGGCATAGCATCTGGCACGGTAAGCTAGAAGACGTTGGTTCGAATCCGGCCGGATGGAAGGAATTTCACAAAAAAATAATTGAATATCAATTCAATAAAAATTTAAAATAGAATATCGCTAAAATAAACAAGAACCAGTACAGAGTCCTAAAAAAAGCGACCTCAAAAGTTCGTGAAATTACATCTATTTGTTAAGTTTTATTGAAATAGGTTAAGGTGGAATATGTTCTTCAAATTTAAATGGGACCAGAGGTATCCTAATTCCAACAAAAAATAATCATCAAAATCGGTTAACAAAAGCCTGAGTTATCGCGTAACCGTATACGAACCGCATACAAAAAAAACATACAGTTAAATTCAGAACCTCATCCTCTTTTAAAATTGAGTTAAAAAAGAGCCATCATCACAGTCTTCAAATGCACAGTCAACGACACGTTCAGTTTTACATTTAAGATTAAAATTCAACTCTATTTCACTTACAATAAGAAAGCTCCTATGCGTGTAGCCATGAGTTTCGGTCTGTGAAATATTGATTGCATTTCTGTATTTTGGACATACTATTGATCTATTATAGATCCGAAACATAGCAAAGACACGAGCCGAGCGCAAAAAATGCATAAACACTTAAACATACCACCTGTGACCAGTTCTTCTGGCGCTTATTAAGTTTCATCAATGTTTCCAATAAATTCCGTAATAATAACACATACATTTTTTGGAAACGCCCATTTTATACTATGTATTCTTATATTTTCACGTTTTGTACTGTGTCACGTTAGGCCTAAATTTCGCTAGACAGCAAGTTTTACACGTTGTTAACGAAGCCATATTTCATCTCACCTAAAACACGCCTGCGCATGTTTAGTACGTTATAATCATAACTTTTATTAATTTGTATTCTGTACGACAACTCTTTGTGCTATTAACATGAATAATTCCGGTCATATTGTATTGACTAATTGAGCAATAATACAAATATTTTGTTTGTTAATTACCTACCTATTCATACATAATTACAGATATAGGTGTAGAAACAAAACATTTGTTTTGCTCTTTGAATCCGGTAGCATATACCACAAAATTTGCACAGAGCGAGACGGAAAATTTTCATTTAGAATATCGTCGGGGATAGTGCAAATCTGCGAATATAGTATTGGTGAATAGCGCGTATCAGCACGAAACCAAATTTCATAGGAAAGGGATTTAACGTTATTACTTTGTTATTTCAATGGCTACGAATTTCATTTTTGCACAATAAGCATTAATTTATGTTGTCTACAGACTGATAACAATAGCTTCCCGTAAGTCACGCTAATTTACGCAGATTTAATTTGGCCACTAAATTACCGAAATTGAGACTCATAATTCGAATGCTAGTTACACGTAATTGCACTATCACCGGCGATATGGACATTTTTTTATTTACAGTTCATCAACAGACGTTACATTGAGTAGGTAACACAACTAGATAAAGATGACACAACTAGATAAAGATGACACAACTAAACAAATATGACATGAATCGAGTTCTTAGGTTTTCGCGATTGATAATTACATAGGAAATGAAACTATTTTTCCGCATTTAAATCGCGTATGTTTGTTGTTTCAAACAAACCAACGTTTACAGGTCCCATGGTCACGGTTGACCATAAACCACGGGAACTGAAGGCGCAGGGCATAACTGGTGCAGGGCTTGGTCCGGACGCCAGTCGTACCCTGGTCAAGACCGCAGTCTCTCCGAAAAACCCTATGTCTCGGGTCGGTAGATAGGGACTGGGATCTGAGCAATGTAATAGTTATTTATAAGTACCTGATATCATGTTTTCCATTGTCGATGGCGCGAATGAGCTTGCCGGTATTGTCTCCGTACTCGCCGCATGAGACCTCAATGATGAAGGAAGCAGGGTTATGGTACGAGGGACACGGTAGATTCAGACTGCTTAGCCATTCCACTGTGAACAAAATATAATATTAGTAAAGCCATACCATCAACAAACAATTGCCGTTGAAGTTATAGTAACTTCTACTAGTGATATAGGGTACTTTGTGGAGAACCCGCGAATTTCGATCGTCCCGTAGCCCTTAAACTCTTTATTCTTTCTCACCGCACTGATTTTTGTCTAATTCTATTACCCTTCATGCAATCCGTCTTTGGAACGCGCTCCCGCTCCATGTAAGACAAGCTCAGATCAAATTATCTTTCAAGCACATGTTGCGCAAGCATCTGTTTGACAATTGTCAAAATCAAGACTCTGTATAAAGTTGCTTTGGGTACATATATTATATTATTTACCATTATAACAAATATGTAAGTTTATTATGCACGTACAATAAGTATGTGTATATTATTTATTTTACACCATACAAATTATGGATTAGTTTCTAGTATATTGTTCTTCTTGTTTAAGTATAGCACCAACCTATTGTGTTTTTTTCTGTTTGGCCCAATGGTTGACTGGTAGAGAATGTCATATGGTATTAAGTCCGCCATTTGTACTTCAGTATATTGCACAATAAAGTTTAAATAAATAAACCCGCCTGAGATAACCGGCCGTAAAAGCCTTATTATATTGCGTAGTCTCTCAAGCTGCAAAACAACTGCATAATGCAGTGTGCAGTCGTATCAACTACATAATCCAAACTGCTTTCCAGTGCAGTTCCTATGACTACACCCTTAGGTGTAAAACCCACTGTGCTGTTCTTGATAAGGATACTCCTTTAGTTTTGAAACCAGGAAATACGTGTCAGTACTGTCAATAAAAATGAGTACCTACAGTACTAGTCTCTTTGTATGCAAAAAAGGTAAATGACATCCAAAAGAAATTATAAGAATGCAAAAAATTACCAATATAGTAATTCAGTTGACAAGAGCGCTGTCTCCAAAGATTGTTATCTTACGTGTATGTAAGATATTAAATACATATAGTTTTCAATAGCACATGCATGTTTGTCTGGCATAAATGAAAAGGTCATCGCCACACAAAGTGAAAGAACTACACGGTTAGAATAATAAAGGTGACATGTCAATAAACCTAGCAGTTAAATCAAACATTGGCTAAGTTAACTTTTTGCAGTATTAGGGACACTGTGCTGTTGCGCGCTGTCAAGTGGGGACTAAACTATAATCGGTAAATTAGTATAAATTACAGAAAGTTAACGAAATTAAAAGAGCGTACAATAAATTATTTTTTGGGATATTGTCACGAATACCAAAAGAATAAGTAGTGTCTCTAATGTTATTTTATCTTTTCTTTGAGCGATTTTCAGAGTATAAAAATGGTAAAATGAATAAATGAAAAGACGGCTAATATTTTCACAATAGTGGGAGGTGTCCATGATATATTTCTTTTCTCGTAAAATATCTTGAAAAAAAATACATCTCTATAAGGCACATGCATAAACTTCTCATAGTACTTAAGTTGTTGGGAAATCACTACTAAACTTCATATTTCTGATTTAGAAACCTGGGCGTGGTTAATGTACACACACGATCTTGCCGCATACTGGTCTTTTTTTGTCCCTCGCAATAATTTATATTGCATTAGCAAATGTAGTGGCAGTGTGGTGATGAGTGCAAGCTGTAAGTGTGAAATGCTACAACAAATATTGTGCAGTACTCAATTATATTTAGTTATATTTTTAACTATCTCCGGGGCCGAACGGTTAACACGCTAGTCTGCCACGCATAGATCTCAAGTCGATTCCCGGGCCGCGTGTAATTTGTGGTTGTCAATGTGTATGTCCATGGCACCCGCGATTCTGGGTTTATATAGTAAGTGGCTATGAGTGTGTGCGTTATTTGTTATTTATTATATTCTAATTATGCATGTAAAAGTAATTAATTCAATTGTTCGTCAGTTGCCTACCGCAAGCAAAAAGCAAGCGAAATTTGTTCATGGTTTTTAGTTAAAAATAAACATGACTCTTTGTTTAGTTCCTTATATTTATTTTAATTCAAGTATTATGAATCATTATATTGTCCTAAACAACAGTAATGAAGATAAAAAACATTGACTGAACTCAAATCGATTAGTTCATTTAATTTCTTAATGTATTTTGCGTGCTCTTATTTAAGAATAAATATGATGATATTCTCGAATTTGATTTTACCACCAACATTAATAGTGTACCCAATCATTTTAAAGTAAATATTAATTTTAATTTACATAACGTAACTTTTAATTCTTTTTATTTTTCAAAAAATAAAAAATTGTTTATTCAATATTATAGTAAATTGCAATTTTGATGAAAATAAATTCTTTATATGACAATATAGAACATTAAATTCGAAATCGGCTTAAGTTTTTAAGTCAAAACTGTAATTTACCTTGATTAGTTTTGTCTAAGGTTTTCGCGATTGTTCCACATAGAAATTAAACTTTCTTTTTTTACCTAAATCGCGTATCACACAGCCAGGGTCACATTCACAGCAATTAGCCGTGATCACGAGACCTGTAAAGGCCCTGAAACGTTAGTTTGTTTAAAAAAGAATAAGCTACTTAGATCCGAAAAAAATAATAATTTCCAAGTTCATAAAAATGAGTAAATAATGAATTATGATTAGTAAAAAAGAAGCCGTGGTAGCACCTACACAGCAGAGGCCGTAAGTTCGAATCCGGGATCGTACCCCTTATCTGAGTTTCTCGGAATTTACGTGCGAAATTTAATTTGAAATCTGCACGTCGAAGGTTCAGAACCCTCGGAAAACGTGACCCCAACACGCATTGGGTCAGCGTGGCGGACTATGGCCTAAGCCCTTGCCTGAGGAGAGACGCGTGCCCAGCAGTGGAACGTATGGGTTGATGATGATGATGGAAAAAGTTCATAATGAAATACCCCTCCCAATAACGCATAACCACGTGGTATTATAAAAAAAACAACACTACACCTAGCATAGTCTGTTGAAGCATGTGAGTAAATATACAATATACCTTCAAATGTATTTGTATGCTTAATGTTTGACCGGACACAATGAAAGTATACTTATTTTATTATGTATAAAAGAAGTATTTCCAAAAATAAATTAATATTGAACATGTTTACAAAATATTTAAAGTTTGTTACTTTATATAATTTGCTGCAGTTTTTTTATCATAAAATAGACGATGTTCTTAGTGAAGGAAGATAAATTGCGGTGAAGGTCTTCTTGTACCACATAACGTAATAAATTATATGACTGTGACCTTAGATATAAAAAACAGGGGCCACGAATGCACCCAACACACGCAAAATATTGTCAAGACGTCGATTTGCGGAGACCAGGGCCCCTATTCAACTAATTTTAAATCATCCCAGTTGTGTGTTAATTAATAGCATCGAGTATATAACCAGAAATAGGGACGAAATAAGGGCCATCCATAACTGGCAACTCATTAGGCAGATGGGACTTATATCACTTTTAAATATCAACTATCGTTTGCGCTGAAATCACAAATTAGAAAGATGAAACAGTACAGCGCCAACAACTGACCTGTGTATCCGTCTCCGTATATTCCAAAAATATTCTGTATTTATTATGATAAAGACAATTCTCTAACAATGGGGGGTTGTTCCGTTCGGTGGTTAGGGAAAAACAGCAAAACATCTAATTACAAAACAAACGGAATCACATTTCATCGGTAATTAAATATTAAATATGTAATTTTGCAATTTTCATCCATTACAGCAAAGCTTAAGTTAAACTGGTCGGTTTTAAGTGAAACAATTGACGACACCCCTTAATAGCTAGCCATTGAGGTACTATTTAATTATTCTTTTATCATCATCAGCTTAAAAAGGTAAAAAATAGTTATTAAGAAACTAAAAACGCATAAAACTTACACCAAAAATTAATTAATGTAAAAACTGTAACTACAAAAACCCGCCATTTTTTGCTGCTATTCAACTGTCATTGCATTTCTTTTTTATTCTGTTCTTTAATGGCGGGTCAATGTCACCTCGATGGCGTAATCTACTAAATTCAACCAGGAAAAAATAATTCAAAATTTTAAAACAAACTAGTGGAGGAGTTTCACAAAAAATAATTAAATATCATGGCGAACACTGAACAGCTGACATTCAATAAATTTAATTTTAATTTGTAATTCAATGAATTTATATACAACTTTAAATGAAAACTGATAATTTTCCATATACAATTTTGATATGACTATAACATTTATTATTTTAAAATTATCATGGCTTCCTTTTCATTGTATCGGACTTTTAATGAGATAAAGTTATCTTTATAATTTCATTTGATTCTTCACGTTTATAACATCTATCCAAGTAAACCGTCTATTATCTACAATTAATACCTCCGAGCTGCAACGATGCGTCACACTACCAGCCACGAGTCTTATCAAGTCATTATTAATAACTAGGTATTATTAAGCTGATCACGTGTGGCGACAGGAAGCTGTCTTCATTTTTATGCGATTTTTAGTGCTTAAAGGGTATTGTGGTAGTAAGGAAACTTATCTTATATCTTGTACTTAAAGGTTATTTTTGTTAATATGAACTTTGTACAGTCAACACCACATCAAGCTACACATTGAAGTATCTTGTTCCGTTGCACTAGAGGCGATTTTCGAACAAAAATGTGTAGCCTGATGCGCTGTTGTCCGTACAATTTTTTTTTTTTCAATTTTTAGAGCGTAATAATAACCTATTAAAATACAAAAATATAGGTAATAAAAATAAAATGGCGTAAATTGTATAGTAGTACATTGAGAATGTCCTTAACAAAGATTAGCTCAATAGTCCCAAACATCACATGCTGGAGGTCTGCCCGGCCCGGGAGGAGCGCCGATCACTTGGCGCAGTTGTTGAAAGGGATCTCTCTCTGCCGACCGTGGTTCGCGCCAAGGTCGACAGCGAGAGGTCCTGGAAAGCGATCCTCACTCTCTGAAACCGTCCTTTTGCAGAACGAGGCGGCGGAGAGAGACAGAGAGGCTACGGCCTCTGTCGGCATACGTCGCCGGAGGACATGCAGAAGGAGGCGCGACTTTGGTCGCCACCTTCCCCCATAGGGAGCCACGACGATTCGTTCGTCGTCTGCGTGTGGCTCGCGTGCACCCGCGCGCGCCTCTCAGTAGGCTATGAAGGAAGGAATAGCTCCTCTCCTTCCTTCTTAGCGAGGTGAGCCCGGAAACGGGTAGGCACCGCTGGGTCTTGGAAGAATGCTTCGGCGCCCCCAGGACCCAGCACGTGGTGCTGAGACGGGTGCCGCGGGATTTTAGTGAGCAGGAGTCTCACATAACCTTCCGTCTGTAACCCCAGACGGAAGGTATACATGATGGATTTCCCCGCTTAAAAAAACATCAGGCGCCGGAGGACAGCGAGAAGGTAGAATAGCCTCTCCTCCCTTCCTAGCGAGGTGAGCCCGGAAACCTACCCATTTACCTAACCTACCGCTGGGTCTTGGAAGAATTCTTCGGGGCCCCCAAGACCCAGCACATGGTACAGAAACAGGTGCCGTGGGGTTTTAGTGACACATAAACATAAACGTTATTGTATAAAAAGCGTGCGGCGAAGCGCAAGTCATCTAGATACTCATATAATTTTGTGAAATGAAATCGAACACAGAAAAACTCCGTTGACCTGAGAGCATCGCCCTGGTTTGGCGTGGTCCCAGGTTCGAGTTCTGTTAGGCCAAAGGAATTTTCTTTGTGTTCGATCTTTGTAATAATAGTTTTATGTTATCGCTCAAATAAGTAGAACTAAAGGTCAAAGACAATATAATTAAATAACGACAAAAAATACATACCCAAACGTCCAGTGCTGCCCTGGTAAACGCACTGTCCTTCAGCAAGTGTGTACAAATGATCGAACATCTCGAACAGCCTCGCAGATGGCTGGTGAATAGTACAGATGATCGTTCGTCCTCCTCTAGCCAGTCTTTTAAGGAGAGATATACATTGGAAACAGGATGAACTGTCGAGACCAGAAGTGGGTTCATCGAAGAACATGATTGGAGGGTTGTTGACAAGTTCCAAGGCGATTGAGAGACGTTTCTTTTGACCACCAGAAAGGTTGGATGTCATTGTCCTGTGGTGCTCAGAGAGACCGAGTGTTTCGAGAATTTCTTGGATCTGGAAGAAAAGATTTTGCATTATACTGATGTCTCTTTCTTGCATAAGTGTCTCGATACGCACAACAGGATTAATAAATAATATACATTATTATTATAACACTATACTAATATTAGACAAATTTACTTTTAACTCTTAATGATATATGTTAATGGTGGAGTCTGCTTTCATTGGGCACTGACAGATTCAACTTATAAAAATTTAATTTTGTTTTTTACTATGATTTTTTACTACACTCATCAAGCGTGTCTAAAGATCAAGGCAGTTTTTAAAATCATTTGTTTACACTATGAAAATTAAATTACTTTATTAAAATACTATAAAAAAACCTTTGGTGTTATAAAAAATAAATTAAAAAACCTGATTTTCAGTAATTGGCAAAAACGTGCTTCATCCATAGACACTTTTGAGGTGTCTATAGACACGATTACAGGCATATGGGACTTGTCAACTTGTACTCAGGGTGAGGGCGCGATGACAGTACCCCTCAGATCTTTGGGATTTAAAGCTCTGAGTGGCACTGCAACTGATATTGACCAGCGTGTCGCTTACCACCAGGCGCACGACTTGTGCGTCCCGTCACTTGGTGTCATAAAAAAAGTAATATGGTGACTCCACTTTGCGTCGGGTTTGAAATGAAAAATATGAAAGTAAATATTGAAGTCATTTTTTGCTTAAAGTACTGTACCCTAGTTTAAGCAATGTTTTGAAGGGATACAAGATAAAATATCATGGAAGGAAAACGTAGCACAATTGGTACAATCGACAAACGTTCTTTGTTCGTGGTAAACAAAACTACATACATTTATACCAAACTCTTTCTAGAGCTATGTAGTAAGCAGCTTTATTATTGGAGAATAGCTCAACTTACAACTTCTTCCTTATCAGCCCTTGTAGTGGCCGAAGGCAGTTTCAAGGCAGTAGCAACAGCCATAGCTTCTTCAACAGTCAGATTTCCATGAAGCTGATTGTCCTGCATGATGTAGCAGGAGAGCTTGCGGAAACTCGACAGATTGCGCTCCATGCCGTTCACAGTAATGCTGCCTTCCATTCCTGAGGTCCTGGAAAGAAAAAAGGCATGAAATATTTATCCTTTGTATATTTTCTGGTGAAATTATAGGCAGTTGGGACTTGTCAGTCACAATGTCACTCAGAGCTTTAAACCGCAAAGATCTGAGGGGCACTGCCCTGCGCTCTGAGACATGTTGACAAATCTCATGTGCCTGTAATATCACCAGCACCCTTATCCTTCAAAACCGGAACACAGTAACGCTGACATTACTTCTTGGAGGCAGAAATAGGTAAAGTGGCAGTGACTTACCTAGACGAACTCTTTCACAAGGAGCTCTACTGCTACTTCAAAAGTTCGTGGAATGAAATACATCTATTTGCCAAGTTCTGAAATCGGTTACCAGAAAATGCGCGAAACCGGAATCATCTCCTAGTTTTGTCATCCTTAGAGGTGGAATATTATCTTCAAATTCTAATGGGACCAATACTGAACTACCCTCTTTCCAACAAAAAAGAATCATCAAAATCGGTTAACAAATTAGTTTAGAGTTATCGCGTAACATACTTAAAAAAACAGTCGAAGTGATAACTGATAACCTCCGCGTTTTTGTTTTGAAGTCGGTTAAAAATGTAAGTAAAGGTGTTACATAAGACTAAGTTATGATGTAAATGTAGATTAAAAAAAGGTCTATTCTTAACATTTATTGACCATAAAGCTTCATTTTGTGACGAGGGTTTTAAGGCCTGCTGTATAAGTAATATTTCTTAACATGGCACAAACAATTTTTACCTACTACGTTTATTACTAATTCCTACAAAAAATGTTTTAAAATATTTACGTTAACAAATCTATGAAACAACTGGTACTTTGCAAATAAAGTAAAAAAATATCGTATTTAAAAAAATTATATTACAAAGGTTATTGTTAATAACAGGAATGAGATTTCAGGTTATTAGTAAGAACTCTGCGTGTGTATGTACCTTTATTATGTACCATATAAAATAACTCTTAAAATACATAGAACAAACGAACTGTAGTCGTTAGATTAATCGAATAATTATTAGCGTTGCGCAGTGGTGGCAGCGCAAAAAATTGCCTGCCGGTTTTTCTAATGATCAAAGTCCAATTTGATGTAAATATCATATGAAAGATTACAGGTTACATTATTCCCAATATTTAAGTGCAAAAGTTGGATTCTGTCTAGTATAGAATTGAGCTTTAGAGCGATGCCACACCATGCGTTGCGTCGGCTTTGCGAACGCCTGTGTGGAGACGCTGCGTTGTACTCCACAAAAATTAGAACTACAAGCAACTAGGTGCGTTGAAACGGCGCGCGGCGCCAGAACGCATGCGCAACGGTCAAGGGGCCAGGAGTCGAAGCGAGGAGGAATGCTGCGGTGCATATAGAGATGGAAAAAACTGCTTCTTTTTTTAAACGTTCAAACGTTATACTTTTAAAAAAAAGCGTGCTTATAAAATCGCTTTTCTCTCAAACGCTTTTCAATTTGAAGGTTACAAAACCGTTTAGAAAAACGTTTAAGCGCATAGACTTTTATGATAAAAAAGCTTGCAACATTGTGTTGATTGCGAAAAGCAAGAGTAGATCACTAAAAGTTTTAAGTTAAGTAACTTTATTTGTAAAACATTAGTTTTATATTTATTTACAAAATTATTATTCACAATGACGAAATAATTAAGCCGAAAAAATAAAAAAATAAATTGTTGAGTATTGAACTGACTAACACTTACGTTTAAATTGAAAAAATTGGACATGTGCTTATTTTAAAAAGCAAACTTTTTAAAATGCTTTTCGTTTAAACGCCCACCTTTAGTGCGACAGTAAGCGGCGCGGCGTTACGTTGCGACACAGCATTGCTCGTGTGGCACTCAGTGCGTTGCGACGACGCAACGAACCGGGGCTCTTACCTTTGTTTTCTCACTGCAATTCATTCTATCGTCGTTTTAATTGTTGTAAGATAAGTTACTTAAGATCCTGTTGTCAGTCATCATTTTAAGACCATATTTAGCAATTAAAACCAACAGGTTTTTGCCACGACGACTTCCATAGTAAATATTAATATCTACTCAACGCTAACTCATGTATTTCTCCTAACATTAATTCTCATATTTATAATAATGTAAAATAACACAAGAAACCAAAAACTTTAGTTGCGGGGAAATCCCAAAAAAACTGCTTTCACGTAGTAACATACTCGACACAACATGGAAAAGTTGTTGTTTATGTTGTTAGTAATTTGCGGGGTTGTATTTTAAAAATAATTCTGTACAAAACAGGTTTTCTTTACGATTTTGCAGTAGTCTCGATAGCAAAAGCTCTTTCGTGTCTTATATTAAACACGACCTTAATAGGGTGTCAGTTAATAAATTAGGACCTTATAACGAACCGTTATATGTTACGTATGTTTGAAACAAATAATGTATCTTGATGGCCTTCGTACTATCCACAGGTAAAATCAAACTACGCACATAATTAACATAAACTGGTTAAGTTTTCCCTAAACAGTTCGAAAAGGGGAATAACAGAATAAATTAAATCATTAACGAACGTTTGTCACATATGCATATTAGATTTTTATTAAATAGATTACACCCCTTCATTGTGTTTTGTATTTGAAGAAATAGATAATGTGTGGCACAGTACTACGCAATTGCTTCAGCTGTACCAAGCACAAGTCTAGTCGTCATGTATGGATAAAGATGGGAAAAACTGCTTATTTTTTAAACGTTTAAACGCTATGCTTTGTTTAGAAAAGCGTGCTAAATTTTTAATTTGAAGCTGACAAAATCGTTTAGAAAACGTTTAAGCGCATAGTCTTTTATGTTAAAAAAAGCTTGCAACATTGTAAAGGTAATTAGACAAAGGTATTAAGATAAGTAAGTTTTTTTTGTAAAAAACGAGTTATATTTTTATTATGACATAACATTATTATATTAACATTTTGTTCATTGGCGTTTAAAAGCGTTCGTTTTGTTTAACTTTTGTAGTTGTTAACCGTTGAAAACGAAAAAACTGATTATTTTTTAACGTTACAACGTACGTTTAAAAAGTGTGCTTGTAAATGCGCTTTTCACCTAAACGCTTTTTTAGTTTGATGCTTAAAAAGTCGTTTAGAAAAACGTTTAAGCGCATAGACCTTATGTTTAAAAACAACGCTTACGCTTAAAATGAAAAGCGTGTTTATGCGCTTATTTTAAAAAGCAGACTTTTTTAAGTGCTTTTCGTTTAAACGCCCACCTCTATGTATGGAGTGCTGCTGCCATGTATGGGATAGTTCCGTTAAATAACAACATGGCCACCTTGGTATCAGGAGAAGCGTGCTAAGAGGCTTATAAGCTATGATCGGAATTGAGGGTGTTAAGTTGCTTAAAGTTTGAACGTGTTCTTAGTATGGATATACCCATTTCGACGTCGACGACAAATAAACCTAATATAGTCATATTCAATTTTTTTTTTTTTTTAATTGACTAAAATTATTGTTCTCTCAAAAGAAGAAATCAAATTCTCAAACAATAGAACCCGTCAATATTTGATAACGACTAAGTTTTTTAAAGTTTGTCTTATCTAATTTTCGTACTGTGTGAAAGAGATAGCAGTTACTGCTTTTTATGCTGTATGTAAGACACAGCAGTTAGTTCTATCTAGGCGCTTTAGTAAATTCTTTTGGTGCGCAGATGTACGCACTATAAAAATACAAATGTAACATTATTCTTTAGGACAATAATTTTTAGCAAATTTCGTTAAATAATACGCATATTCAAATTTAATCACGAGAAGTTAAGGGATTTATATAAGGGAGTGTCCACATTATTATTCACGTTAGGTATTCAAATTTTGGGTTATTTAACACCCTCAATTCTGATCACTGCTTACAAGTGACTCGGATTTAGCAGAGACGAAGATACAGAGCCTTGAACACCACCGTTAAGTTGCTTACTTTTTGGTATTCTACAGGATATATCACGGAGAGTCTGCGATGGAATTGCATGATTTCATGCATTTCTATCATCGGTGGACTAGACGTAGGCTGAGGTTGCACCCCTATGTTGGGGTTATTCCGAGAATAACGCTATAACTTGGGTCTATTCAAGGCGAGAGTAAATAGGCATTATTTAGATGATCTTCATCGTCACGTTCCATCAGGTGAGATGAAGGTCAAATGCTCACTTATTTTTTTTATAACAAAAAACCAATGTTTACTTGTTTTGTAACGGTCAACGTTTACACAATCGCGTTTCCGCAAATAATTGAGATGTGAATTAATCTAACAAGTGCGTCAAACATAATGCACATTAAGATAACGTCCATATGAATTTCTCACAATACATTTACAGTTATTTGAATAGAGATAGATATTGGGTTATTTTGAATAAACCAAAACCTCTTAGCATGGGATTGGTAACTTTAAAATACATGCATTATTCTAATGCAATTCGGAAATCACACATTTTTTTAACTTGCCACAATCGATGAATAAAAATGAAGATTTGCATAAGAAGTGATAAAGTCCTAGTTTTTGAAAGTCGTGGAACAAAGGTTATTTGTTTAGATAACAGAAATGGACTGGATAATGAGGTTACGGGTTAAACAATAATAGCCCTATAGATACGGAGTCCTAAATGGAGCTGTTTCTGACAATGTTCATAATATTTAATATTACATAGTTGTACTGCACAATTAACTTTATTCTACAAGTATATAGCGAGTGACTACAAAAGTCAAGGGCATAGAAACCGGTCCATAAACGACACTACGTAACAAAAAAGCCATATAAATAGAGGAAAATTTAAAAACCTAGTGATTGACAAATATAAGACCATCCTTTTATATTATTGAATTTGAAATAATGTAGTTTTTTTCTAATCTTAATTTGAGGGAATAGTTCGGCTGCAGTACCACCTCGCTCTTTAGAGCAGCCTCCAAAGTCAGGATTGCCATGATGTTGTCCAACCTTCAATAGGAGAGGAACCCCAAAAAGAAAAATTTGCAAACATATTGTACATCTTTATCAATTTGCAAAAATTAAAAAA